ACGTAGTCCTCATCTTATAGCTGACTCATGATGGCGACATCATCGTCCGCACTGACGAACTCGTCGAATGTCGATCCGTCAATAGCTCCCAGAACTTCGCCAGCTTGCTCCAAACTTCGGCAGACACACGTGTAATGTTGAGTGCTGTCATCTGAATTTGGGGTGCCGTCACCTGGCATGCCGAAGCCGGCATGCCTAAAGCAGTTCTGGATTGTCTACGTGTCATCTGCCCACGATCCACTCAACACAAAAAGAGCTCCGAGCAAGTCAATCTTAAGCTCCCTGCCAACACAAAGGTTCTGCAGCAACATCTCCACCAGGGGCTTCCGATTGCTGGCTTTCAGTGCGCGTATAACGCCTCTATCCAGTGGTTGCAGTACAGACATAGTGTTTCAGGGCAAAAAGCGCAGCTCAATGTTGCTGGAGGATGTACTGCGGTGGTGCGATGAACTATTGTCTACGAGAAGGCACACCTTGCGATTTTCGCCAACCAAATTATCATTCCACGATGCTAGCTACCTGCCGAGAAGCTCCCGTGTCATCCATGCTTTTAAGTTTGCTCGGTAGGTAACTGGAAGCGACAGCGCATTTCAAAAACACCGCGGTGCCGTGCTTTTCTCGATAACCAGAGGTAGAAGCTTTTTCAATCCGTCTAAAACTGCTGCCAACAGCACGGACACACGAGCTTTGTTTGCCTTGCTGCTACAAGTCTTGTCGCCACGACACGCGTCTTGTTTGGCAACATTTGCCAAAATAGAGTGGTTTCATCCGCGTTGATGATATCTTGGGCTTCATATCTTGCTGCGATATCTCGCCAGTTTTCCTCGAGCCATTTGTATACGCTGTCCAAGTCCGCGGCTCTGCTTTCACCTGTAAGAGCTTTGCCAACGATGTCGTGCCATTCTTTGGACTATTGGAGCCAGCCTGAATCACCTTGGAAATCGTTCCTGCCAAGCAGAAAAGCAAGGTCCTTGGCTTTCTGCTCGATAATAGGGCCAGACGCTGGGATGTTTTGCGACCGAACGTCCACAAACCATTTGTAAATGGCCACTTCAACATCTTCGTACACAGCAGTGTGCACACGCCGCGCGCCACGGGCACCTAGCCTTTTGTCCGACTTTGCCTTGATGTCTGCCTTGTTCTTCAGTATAGTACTCATGGTGCTCCTTGCAATTTAGTACGCAACGGCGATGTCGGACTTTTTCTAACCGCGCTAGATTCGATTTATAATTTCAAGTTTTGCGGCGAATGGAAAATTCTGCCTCTTTGCGCAAGCCGTGACGACAGCGCACTAATAACGTTCACAGAACACCTACAGGCAACACCACCAATACGGACCATGCTGAATGAGGACTCGAGGAAAACAGGCAGCAGCAGGCACACAAGCATAAAGGAAAAAAAAAAAAAATGGCATCACTTCTACCGCCTCCGCGCCTCGGAGAAAGTACGACAGCCTCTGATTGGCTGTAAGCACTGCGAGGGGGCCAGGATCATTTTTTTTGCAGAGGAGTGTTCGCCCATGAAAAATCGGGTCTAAGCCACTTTTTCTAGGGTGGCACCGGCAGTTTTCCCCGCTACCGTGAGGGAATGCCAACTTGCTGGGGCACTTTCAAGGCACATGGAGTTTGATATATTGGTTGTCGTCGTTATTTTCGTTCTATGTAACAGTAACTTTTGCTATATACTCTCAATGTAAGTTTACCGTGTTTAGAAATTGTTCGATATACGGGATAATTTGATATAAACAGGTGATATAAATAGTCGGGCTCGACTAGAGTGCTTTTGTCTACACTTGAAGTACCTTTGCACATGCGATTGTAGGGCTCCTTTCTCGTAACAATATGCTTGGGATCCTTTGAAACTTATTTTCAGTAATTGGGCTTCAAAGTACAGTAGACTCATTCAATGGAACTTGAAGGGACCAGGAAAATGCGTTCCATTTAAAAAGTTCATTAAGTGAGTGATGAACATGGGTGGAGAATGCCAGCGCAGAACCTATCGTATCAAAGGCAGCTGTTCCATTCAAAAGGTCTCGATTCAACACAAGCCTACTGCATTCGGAAAACATTACTTAAGTATTCGCAAATTATTCCATTCCATTGACACTCAAAATTTTGCTATTTACACAGCTTTAATGTAAACTGTGCTCAAGCGAAGACACCAGAGTAAAAGCCTGTCTGCTTGTACTCTGGTGTTTTGTTCCAAGCGCCGTTTAAGCTTACAGGAAAAAAAATATTGTTTTTTAGGTCTGCTTATTTAATTAGATGCACCTCAAAATAACTCAAAAATCAGTCAAGGAGCTTTACTTGCGAGACACCAGCTAGATATTTTTTTGAAATGTTAAATTGTTTTGAAATACTTTTAATTCTTGTGAAATGTAGTATATCTAAACGTTGCGTTAAAATTAAAAGCACCAGGACGAGTGATGTGAAAACTTCTACACAAACCAAGACAGACCTTCACTGAGAGGCAAATGATACAGTGCCATAAAAAAAAAAAAAGACGGAGAGACAGAGAGGGGGCAACCTAGATGTGTTGGATGAGCTTTGTTGATACGTCGTGGCATGGTTGTTGTCTGCACAAATCTGATGATTTAAAAAACATATTGTATTTGCACGTAAATAACGTGACCGCGAATATAGCGCAAAAGGGGAAGTATAAGTCTCGACAAAAAAAAAAAAAGTTTATTACGATTACAACGCGAGGTGATGGAACTGCAAAGAGTAGTCAAAGAGTGGACGCCGGCAGGGCTTTATTTATATTTGCAGCAGTCGAAAATGCTATAATCACTGGCTTGCCTCATCATTCATCATCGCTGCTGAAGTCTTTGTCACTGACGACAAAAACCGCGTCGTCGTCCGTGCTGTCCAGACTGTTCGAGAAGCACTACTTCAAGAATGCCCGTGACACTAGTGCCGACGGCAGCCCCCCCCCCCCCAAGCATTGTGTATCCATCGAGCGACGTCGCTGCTGAAGCTCGCTTCATGCGACTGATGGAGTCAGTTGGCGATTGCTAGCCTCCAGCCACTGCTCGTACTCCCGGCGTACAAGGTCCTTAAAAGGCTTATTAATGCAGACATCCAGTGGCTGAAGCTGCGACTGGGAATGACAGGGTCAGTGTTGGCCTTGCTGAGCACTTCTTTCACCTCATTGGCCAAGTGGCCTCTAATTACGTCCAGCACAATCAGAGCTAAAGTGTTGAGAAGCGTGTCCGGACATCTTCCCCACATAACATGAATCCACTCCGTCATCATGGTGCTGTCCATCCTGCCCTTATATTTGCACCTTCTGTGCATCAGGTGTGGGAATATCTTATTCCTGGGTAGAGTTTTTCTTTTAAATATGACAAATGTCGGCAGCTTACGCCCGTCTGCCTTGCATGCCAGCATCACTGTCACCCGTGTCTTTTCGTTACCCGTTGTGCGAATGCGCACCTTCTTGGTGCCGAGCTCACCCATTACATAGCCAGCCAGTATGACCAAAAGATCGAGGTTTCATCTGCGTTACCGATCTGGCCTACGGGGTAGTTCTCCCTCCTCATCTTGATCCCGTACTGCTGAAACTCAACAACTTTCTCCTCATACTGGGCCGAAAGCTTCTGGCAAATCGAAGTCCCTCTGCGAACGAGAATCCCGCACGACGCATGAACTTCTGCACCCACGAGCGACTTGCTTTAAAGGTGTCACTGGGCATACCGGGCTCACCTGCCAGCTCCCTTGCTTTAATCTGCACAAGTTCAGCGTTCACAGGCAGAAATTGGCCACGACGTTGGTGCGTGAATTACACCAGGTCCACTTCGATTTCCGGGAAACGGCCGGTCTTGGGTCCACGGAACGCCTTACGTGTCGGTGCGGCTTGGAAAATGCGGTCTTGAAACTTCCTCCTACCCCGAATGATAGACTCCGTCACTCCGAGATGCCGTGCAGCACTTGAATTTCCCTTATCCATGGCCAACAGGATCGCCTGTTTTTTTTTTTTTATTATTGCAGCAGTTTGCAGATTCTGTTTGTTAATATTGACGGGCAATGCGGAAGAAAAATCTCAGCGACGACCGAGCGGGAGGTGTAGAAAGGTGACGTTTTTCCAAGACGATCGTTATCCCTGTGTTGCCACCACTGTTGCCACTAAGGCTGCAATGGCGCTAGCAGCGCTAGCGCCATCGCAGCCCCAGTGGCAACAGACTACTATCGCCGCAGCATACCGCAGTGGCGTGCGTGTCGATGGTGCACTAAGCGGAGGTGCTCCAAGACATCAGGCGGGCGTCGGCGCCACAGTGCCTCCCCACATGCGGTCACTGGAAGTGCAATTCGGAATGCCATGTGGCGCTGTGGATATGTCATAAATAAATAAATAAATAAATAAAATGTGCTATATGGAGCGACAAAACCACCAATTTTCTGGAATGTGCTGCGCTCGCTACAAGGACGAAGATTTAAAAGAAGAAAAACAAGGCTCCAAAAAGTTTCATGCTATATTTGTCCTACTTTTTGTCACGAAGCCGAATATAACGCGAGGTGCCTTTTTCACTCGCAAATTTTCAGAAAAAAACTCCTGTTATATTCATGCAAATACGGTATGTGCGGTCGCTAGACCTGTAATTTTTCTCCATTCCATGAAACTCATGCAAACAAGCGTTACTTGTGTTCTTTTTTTTTTTTTTGTGACCAGAGCCGCTGTTGGCATGCTCTGCTTGTGCACATAAGAGGGTTCCATTTCCTGACCCTGATCACTAGGATTAAGTTCTTTCTCGACCAAAATGCATACTTTGCATGTTTTTAAATTTTTTTTTTACTACAGCATATGTTCAAGCCAAGTAGAATTCCACAAAATAGATCAGGCTAACTCAACTGCATAGCCCTCAAATGGTTCTTTCAGCACAGATAAGCACAGCTCTTCTTCAGTAGAGAAAAGGTTACAAAGAGCTGTTGTCCCTTCTTGTCCAGGACATCTGGAGATAGCAGGGGGAGGGGGGCAGAGCAGTCCATTGATATTTCGCTCACCCTGGCTCTGTGTGGGGACCCTTGGGGTGAACCCTCTTCAGCTGGTGGGTGCCTCTTGAGGATGCTGAGCGGTGGATTGGCGCCATTCCCACCGTCGTTTGGCTGTGGCACAGTGGGCGCACTGTCTGCGTGACGGCTCGGAGACGAGCCTACGCTGCGCATGGCGGCATCCAGCATGATGCGGCTGCGTGAGAGTGCCGGTGAAGAACCCGACCATCGAGGCTTGCCTCTGCTGGAAGCTGCATCCGGTGGTGGGGGAGAAGAGTTCCACTGCACCTGCTCTTGCCGTGCCTGATTAGGCAACAGATTTGGACAAGTCAGAAAACAGGGCAATGTTTCAAAAGGGGTTTAAACTGCACAAAGAAGACAGGATTAAAGCAGAACGCAGACTTGCACACGAACGCTGATCCTGTTTTCGTCAAGTCAGAAAACAGCATCAAGCACACTTATAAAATAGCACAAATGCCCAACAGCCAGAGCGCGTCAGCAACGTCGCTTAAAGCCAGAGCGCGGCAGCAACATCGGTCCCCATGCCCTTAATAAATTAAATACTTGTCTGCTTTCAACATACATTTGGAGGAAGCACAATTACTGATCATATTGTTCACTCTTTTCAGGTAATTGCTGGCCTGGTGAAAAAAAAAAAGCACATTCAACGTCTCAAAAAATGTTGCAACTTGACCTTGTTTTAGGCTAAGGGCACTCATTCTATGGACAGTAGGGCCAGTGTCCTCACCGCTCCGCAACAACAATGTTGCACACGTTACTCCAAGAAACGAAAAGGTAGCCTTCTTGTGCAAGGCGAGCCCCTTGGCATTCTAGGCTGGTCCCCATTAAATGGTGACATGACTTGCCCATATAGAGCACGGCTGGGGCAGTGTCTGACAACACTTCTCTCGACAAGTTTTGAGTGCGAAAAAGAAAAAAAAAAACGCAAGCAGGTTACCCGCACCACCTCCTCGATGCGTTCGTGGAATCCCTATTTAAAAGTCGTTGTGAATGTTCGGAAGAAGTATGCAATCATGCCCTTCTTACACAAGATTTTCTACAACGTAAAAAAAAAAAAGCACCCAAGCAAAGATTAGCGTTGTTTTAATGGCTCTGAATAAACTTGGCAAACAGTGCAGCCTCAGCAAACAACTACTCGCAAAGCACGCGGCTGTGACTAAAATTACAGAACATGCCACGTGTAATGCAAGAAAAGTGTCGTGTACCAGCTTCCCCTGTTATGTGGGAAATTCTATGTGGGGCAAACAGGGCGGTGTCTCAGCGAAAGACTTGCAGAGCACAAGCTTAAAAAGGGCGGCAATGTTTTGTTATACGCACATTGCCGCACGTGTGGGTGTTGGCCTGTTTCTGAAGAATATTAGGTTGAATTCATGCACAAAATGAAACTATGCGGTTGATCCACTACCATACATAAGCTGGATCAGGAATCGTAACTATATACTGCCTCAATCACTGAGAACACAAATACAGTTGTGCCAACACAATCATGGGCGAGCGAGCACTAAAGTACGCGAGCATCCAACACGCAAGAGACCAATGCTGCTTGCTGCAACACTGCGGACGAAACACAAAACCATGTCGATGCAATTAGAGACAGCAACAATAGAGTTCTGAAAACATGCGCTAAGGCAGCACAGATTTAAGATAGAACTGCTGTTGTTTCACAACTGCTATGCAGTAAACTATGGTCATTATCGGCCTGTTCATCGATAGCAAATCTGCTCAGAAGATAAGCAGACAGCACAGAATACATATGAGCAATAAAGCTGCAAAACGTATGAAGCTTCACGGCTTTATTATAGTTCACTCATGACTAGGATAATGCAGAGCTTCAACACAATTTTTAATTGGCCGATAGCGAAGCTTTGACATGCTTGTTCGCGCCACTGAGCATTTAGCATGCTTCAAAGGTCTTCCGTGTCTACTACTTTCCAACGTATAACCCACCCATGCATTTATACGGTACCTCTGACTGCAAAGTGCAAGAGAAAGAAAAAAAATGCACCCGCACACTATCCCAAGGCCGCCTTCCTTGCATTACTAGAAAGGTGTGCCGTGAAGCAAACTGTAACTGAAATTTATAAAACCTACACTATTGAGTTTAGCTCCATACTTTCTGTATATACTTTCTGCATGTTATTTGCGAGAAACTATATTCCCTCAGGTGAGTTAGGGAGAGTTCAACGCATGCGCTTGGTTGGACCAAAGGACTAGCCACCATCAACACCGAATTTCGTGGTGCATAGATGAAGTTTTGCTGCAACGAAATTCTGCGACAACAAACTTCTTTTGTGGTCCCAACAATTTTGTTGTAGCAAGGTTTGACTGAATAAAAATTTTTTTCTAAAAATATTGGAGAAATACATGAAAGATATCCAGTTTGAACTGCACTCACACTACAAAATTCGAATTGGCTTCACACCCAAAACATTGCTGTTCGTGCAGCTCTACTCCCCCCCCACTGCTGCCCTATAAAATCCAAGTTAATGAGCTTTTACTGTATTGATGTTTATATGCACTCGGTCATTGAATGCTAACCACAAATATGTGTTGCCAATCAAGTCAGGCATGCTCCATTTGCCTCAGTGTGCATGCACTTGAAAAGTGATTCCTACTCACTCGTTTTGCCCGAAGGCGGCTGGCGATTGGGGACGTGGTCTGTGAAGGCAGCTTGCGCTTGCGTGATCCCCTGACTGCCTTTTTCTGAAGCAGCTCTGTCTTGGATGCTGCATTGGTCCCACTTTTCGTTTCCCAGCTTTCTAGGGCAGCTTGGTCTTCGGTTTCAGGCACAGTGCAAACATCTGGGCACGAGTGACTGGCAGGGACACTCTCGTGGGTGTCGACCCTCGTGCATGCGCTGGCCATTGGCTTTTCACTGTCTACTGCCAGTTCAACTCTGTCTGTGTTTTCAGAGCTTAGAATAGGCACACCAAATTCTGGTGATGTCTGAGACGCTTGCACGGTGCCCTCACTGTAACATGCAGAAAAGGCCTCGCTGAGTTTCAGCGCGCACTCTTCACTGTTCGCTGGCGCAGGGGACGAAGGCTCAATGTCCTCTGCCTCCAGCTCGTCCTCGTGTATCTCAATGTCGGTCGACTCCTGAGTGGTGCAAGCTTCTTTTGTGTGTTCCTCTACGTTCGGCTCAGCCGGTGCACTGTTTGCGGGCACATCGTCATCAAGTGGCGCAATGCCATCCTCCAACAGCTCCTCTTGCCACCCGATCGGCCGATTAGCAACCAGCGACCCCCTTGTAAGCCTCAGATTTTTTGGGCTATCACCATTGTTCTTGTGCACCAGTGTCTCTTGGCTGGCAACGAGCCGTCCCCTCTCCTTGTCTTGCAGCCATACCGTGACGGGACTGTCTGGGTGTATATCTACGAGCGGCTTATCGTGACCCGACTTGGCCATCTCCACCCCTTCAATGGAGCCAACGGAGGACTGTGAACTGGGCACCACGTCAGTGTCTCCCAATGCCTCACACTCTTCCGCTTCCAAAACAGGCGGCCGGGTGAAGGAAAGCCGGGCCCTGGGACGATGCACTCGAGGGCTGCCTCCTGACATGGGGTTTGACGGGGGGCAATCTCTCTGGTGTGGCTTTTGGCTCTGCAGCAATACACCACAAGGACAAAACATTTTTGTATAAAGCTTTTGTAGAAAGCATTGCCTGATCACCTTCACACCATCTCCTGCCTACATTTCCACGTAAGTTCCTCCAAGCAATCTTTTTAGACTGCGTGTGTGGAAAGTTACATACAACAATAACTTTAACTGAGTTTATTTAGTTATTTATGAAATACCCACAGTGCCTTCATGGGCATTACAGTGGGGGCGATACATAAAGTACATAATAAGAGCAGCGGTTACATGGTAAAAACACACAAACATGATCATAACTATATTAGTACGTCACAACGTGGTTACGCCTATACAATAACATCACGTATTGCCTGGACAAACGCTGCACTTGGACTTATGCTAGCAATGTGTGCTGGTAACCGATTCGAGGCTCTAATAGTATTGGGGGAAAAGGACTTGTTATATATGATACTTTTAAAGGATATTTCCTTCACTTTTAAGTCGTTGTCCACTCTCTTAGACACGTAGTCAGGGTCATGTCAATATGTCAGGCGGTCAATCCCAGTTCGCGAATGGTGAATGTCATGGAATAATTTTAATTTTTGAATGCAGCGTCTTTTTTTAAGAGTGTCCCATCCAATTAAGTTTTTTTTTGCCTCAAATACACTGAATTGCCTTGAATAGTTTTGAAAAACAAACTGCATGGCTCTACTCTGAACTCTTTCCAGCTTGTCTCTGTTGATTTGCATTCACAGATCCTGAACCGCACTAGCGTACTCAAGTACTGATCTCAAACTGGGGACATATAGTAGAGCCCTTGCTTTGACGGGAAATTGTTTAGCATTCCTTTTCAGACACCCTAGCACCCGAGATGCTTTAGCGACAACGTAGTCAATGTGTCGTGTCCATGATAAATCAGAGGTAACAAACACTCCCAAATATATAAATTCGTGCAGAAACGGTAGTTGTATTTCATTAACATTATAATTAGTTTGAAACTATTGAGTTCTTTTTTTAGAAAAACACATATGTACTGTTTTTAAACGTTCACTGTCATATGCCAATCTATGCACCACAGTGCGATCCGATCTTATCACTTTGTAAATTTGCACAATCGCTTTTGTCATGAACTACTCTATACAACACACAGTTATCTGCAAACGTGCATACAGAAGAACCAGTATTATCAGTAATGTCGTTCACAAAAATAAGAAAAGCAAAGGGCCAAGTACCGACCCTTGCGGCACCCCTGACTAACGTCAGCCCCACCTGACTTCTCACCATTAATTATAACTTTTAAGTGCCTAAACTGCAAATAACTTTTAATCCATCTAATCAATCATAGTACTGTCAATACCATACCATGTCAAATTTTCAATTATTGTATCATAGTGTACAACATTGGGTGCCTTCTGGAAATCTAGAAATTCACAGTCAACGACGCCGCCTTTGTCCAATGTACTTGAGAGGTAATGAATCAACTCTGTCAGTTGTGTGACACAGGAGAATCCACGGCGGAAGCCATGTTGGCCGTTGTTTAATAGCGAGTTCTCATCTAGATGCTTCATTATGCTAGAGAAGAGTACATGTTCCAACACTTTGCATACTGTACTGATTAATGACACAGGACGATAATTCAAAATCAAGTTATGCGGTCCATACTTGTGGATGGGTACAATGTGAGCCTTTTTTTAATCGGAAGGTAAGCTAACCTCCTTTATGAATTTATTGAAAAGCAGATATAAATATTTAGAAACCAAGTACGCACATAATTTTATTAAAGCATTCGGTATGTCATCTGAACTACTAGCTTTTGTAGGATCTAATTTTCTTAGGAAGGCTTCAATACCATACAAACTAAATTCAATCCTTCCCATACTAATGCCACAATGTTTTTTAAGAACCTGTCCAAGTGTATGCGGATGACTAGAAAAAAACGAAGTAAAAAAAGAAAGAAAGAATTCAGCTTTTTCACATACGTTATTAACAAATGTGCCGTTGTCATCAATCAGTAATATTGTTAGATCGTATTTTACATTTTTTTAATTGCCACAATTCTTTCAGCTAATTTTTTATTTTCATTTCTAGTGTTTCGAAGTAATTGGCCTTTGCTTTTTTTATGTCATTCATTTTAGCCGTGGGTATTTGCAATTTTTCTTTCACCTCTCCGTCAATGACATGAGTTCTATTATCAATGCTGCGTCACTTAGGGACTCTACTCCCTCAAGAGCCGAACAGTTGGCCGTAGCCCTTGCCCTTTTGGACGACAGCAGATCACAAATCTTCACTGACTCAAGATCAGCGGTCAGGGCTTTCTCCTCTGGAAGTCTGTGCTGAAGTACTTAATTTATTTATTTATTTATTTACAAATACTGCTGTCCCATGCCTAGGACATTGCAGGAGCGGGTACAGAAAAATCAACGAAAGCACAGAAACAAACAATAGTGCGCACAAATTTATGTGACTAACACATAAAATTTTTCCCGAACTCTACAGTGTTCATTCTACGCAATGCACCATCAAGCTTGTTCCAAACTTCCACCACACGCGGAAAAAAAGAGAATTTGAAACAATCCAAACGAGACCTGAAGGGTACAAGGTTCAAAGCGTCTGTACTACGTGTTGTACGCGCTGGTATATCAGCGAAAGATAAGGGCGCTTAAACTGCTTAAAAATAATAGGATACTTTCACCACATACCATTACCTGGTTTCCTGCACATCTTGAACCCCTATTGGACTCTCTAGTAAACCTGAATAACACTGCTCACTCCCGGGCGCGCGCACTAACCCTCTACGCTGGAGGGCACATAGGTCCGCAGGTTGGCAGTGAGATGTTCAGGGACGCTTTACTTACATTCAGTGAAGTAGTTAAACACTACCAGTTGAGTAGGCTTTTGACTCTGCTTATCCTGATTGTGTTGAGGTTAGTGACTTTGCGCATATGCTCTGGTGGTGCCCCTTGTTACGGGGCCCAAGTCGGCTTACAGAAGAGAATTGGGACTCTGCCTTAGGAGGTGCACAGTTACCACCACAACTACGAGCTGTCCAGAGAGCCCACGATGCGGTGGTGAGGCCAGGCCTCCCCATTCCTACATGGAAGCGGCCCGCGATGTTGCTCTAAAAAAGTTGCGTTTCTCAGGACCCAATAAAGTTCTGTGTCTGTTTGTCCCTGTCTCTTTTTTTATTTATTTATTGTATGCACTTACCAGTTAATCTTTGTATTTCTCTTGTAAACCAGGGTTTACTTTTGCTTCATCCCTTTGTCATAAGCCATGAAGGTACATGTTGGTAGCGTAATTCAAACAGTTTACATTTAAATATCTCCCACAATTCACCTACATCAGATGTATCCGACAATGTCTCGAAAATGTCATAATACCAATCAGATGGTTCTGTTATCTTTTGAGTGTTTGCCTTCTTATAGCTATATATTTGTCTTCCTTAGATGTACATAACTTTGTTTTGACGCAAGCTAAACTCGCAAAGCACAACCCTGTGATCACTAATATTGGGTATCACTAACGTTTGCTGGTCCTCATTGGGCAAATCAGTAAGTAACAAATCAAGCACATTGTTTCCTTTTGTAGAATGCTCTACAAGTAGATTAAGTGAGAAGCAACTACACATTTCAGACAGAATTTCACTGCAGTAATGACACACAGTCAATCACCTATCACTACACTTCCCACCTAATGCAGACAGTTCTGAAAATCCAAGTATTGGTCAAAAGCGCTCACACAGAGTGGGAACCAAGGCACATCTACACTAAAGCCTCAATATAATGAACACAGATATAACAAAGTAAATGAAAATAGTCTTGCAATAGATACAGTGTTGAGAGGAAACCTTTATATAGAATTTTTGAATATAACAACTTTTCTCGCAAGATGCAACTTTTTTCAATGAGGTTTCAGTTTATTTCGTGAGTGGGAGCCAGGCATCACATGATCCAATGTTGTCTCATCTTTATATTTTCTGCCACGGTGGTGTCACCAGTGCAACAAACACAAAAAATGCCCAGCAAATCCCCCTTCAAAACAGCCCACCTCACGTACAAATGCTTGCCACCATGGATACAGTCGAACCAATATATAATATTATCACTTTCAATAATATATCCGTTGCACCAATGAAAAGCTGCTGCACCATCAACAATTGTATATTTTATGTTTATAACCTTCTTACAGCAATGCACGCATGCATCATTGGTCATAACAACTAGTTCTAGCTGTTTAGTGTCCGCCTTGAGAGGTAAGGGAATGTGAAATTATTGAAGAGAAAGAAAACGAGAAATTCAAGCAGCGGAACTGCTTACCGAAACCCCAATGAACCCCAGTGCCCCTATGGATTTGCAATATGATTCACCACATAGCGCAAAGGCATTGCAGAAAAGCTGATTTATGATATTCGATAAGACGCAGAAGGAGCAGTGGCTTCTGTTAATGCCCTTTCAAACATAAAATTTGTGTAAAAAGTTCAAACTTCAAAGAGTGTGAGAGTTTCAAACTTGTTGTCATATATTGATTGTTTAGGGCGTTCGGCGGTACCGTAAAAGTGTTTGAATTTTCAAGCATGGTCAAAAAGATCAGCAGGTTTCTTATCCATACCACAGATGTCTTTTGCCATATTCAATTCAATATAGCTTTCTCACAGCAGCCTGCTATATCCCTACATTGCTGTTTTTTCTTACTTTCTTTCTTAATGCAACCTGTTTATAGCAATTATTCATTAGAGCAATGAAATTTTCATGCCACTAAAATATTGTTATAAGTGGGTTCGACTATTTAGGCTAACACTCCCAGTGGTTACTGATAAATACTGGGTTTGTGTTAATATTCGAATGCTGCGAATATTCGAACAGATAGTAGAGTATTCGAACTCGCTTCGATTTGAACTGAAATTTTTGAAAATTTCGAAGTATTCGCAATGAAGGAATAGATGTATATTATTCCAGATGTCCTGTGAACTTATCGTTGTGTATGAGTGAGGTGCCGAGAGTCGTCAGGGTCTAGATATTAAACTGACA